CCCCAAAACCCCAAAACCCCAAAACCCCGGCTTAGTAGAGAATATTGAAATAAAATGGAAGATGAAAAGTTGGTTATGACCAGATGAAAGGAAATGTGAATGTTACATAGGGAAAGAATGTGAGTGAAGGAGATGAGTGAGATTGTGGAAGAGTTTTTAGCGTCTTTGGCTGGTAAGAGGTGTTGGAGTGGGAATTTGGGATAGGGAGGTGGCTTTATGGAGGGTAGAGTTTGATGTGGATTGTAGGAGGTAGGCAGCTTGGTGTTACTAAGAATGCACTTGTGAAAAGGAGAGTTTTGTTCAGAAAGGTTCAGAAATTAATGAAGTATTATACAAAATGAGGCGAATTGACAAATCTAAAAGCAAATTATTTTTTTTTGAAAAATTGGAAGAAATTTGGGGGGGGTTGATGAAGATGATCAGACCCCGTAAAATTGTGGAATTTGATTTCAGTTCACCTTGTTTTAGAGATTCACATTTGAATGATAAATACTTGTTCAAAGGCATCAGACTAATGCCATTTGTTGTCAATAGACTCAAAATTGAAAAGTTTTTCATCAGAAATTACCATCTGAGAAAGATCTTTGTTTCCTCAAGGAATACAAGGATGATAATGTTCAAGAAATGCAAAATTGATACGACCGAAATAAAGCCACTCGATAGCTTTAAATTTCAAACACTCTTTCTATACTTCAAAGATTGAAGTGGATGGTTCAGTCAGGATTGGAAAAATGACACCAATTTCATAGAAGCCTTAATTAAAACAATCTCGACTTGAGGGTTAAAGAACTCTCTGAATAGGATCTACTTCGGAAAAACCTCATTGACAGAGACCCAAGTTTTAGAATGGTTAGAGGCTTATTCCCTCTACGACGTGATTATCTCCATGCTCGACTTCACTTGTGACGACTCTAGAGATTACGTTCTCAAATCTGAGGACTCAATTCCACTAAAAGAGAAGATTCTGACAAAAAGCGAAGGCAAATGTTTAATTCAATAAGTTCATTCAATCAAAAATTTCCTACTGGGGTTTTGGGGTTTTGGGGTTTTGGGG